AAATAACGGATCGAATCAAATATAACGGATAAAATGCCCAGCCCTAGTTATGTGACATGGGTATCCAATCCTCGCAATCAGGTCTGTCTGGCGCTGCCCCATAGAATTAGTCGGTTCTATATTGGCATGCTGGATACTCTCATATTATCAAAGAAATAAATTACAAGAGAACCAAAACCTTATATTTTGGATAATTTTGTATATTTGGAAAACGCTCAATAACAAGATTTTTAAAACCATTGACATATATAGAGTCATTGGAGAATGTTACATACGTGGAGGCAGAGTCGTACCTCAATGTTCAAAATTGAAGCATTGACTTAGCGCATCCAATTTTTTAAAATTAATTAAGGACAAGTTTTTTTAGTTTCATTTACTTAAACTCAATTAAGAAAGTAAAGAAAAATGCTAAAAAAAAAGAAAGTATATTATAAAATTATGGTTTTCATACTTAAGCAATCAAACTGGTATATGATCAATTTTAGTAGTTAAAAATGATACAATAGATATAAAACTAGTTGTGTCATACAAAATTATTTGATTTGGCTATTTTATAATTTTTAACCTTATCATATAAAATATAAATATTCTCATCCTTTTATTTTTAATAGATTTGGTTATAAGTTTTAGATTTTAAAGCTTACTTAATTTTTTGGAAAAAATTAAACTAATAATTTCTTAGTAGTTTAGATTTTTTTTTGTTTTTTTTTTTTTTTGACAACATTTTTATTTTTTTTACTATATGAACTAGTTAATATACCATTTTATAGCTAAGTGGAGGCATATTATTTTCAACTGCTTAGGGCACCCCCAAATGCTCGCACGGCACTGCGTGGAGGGTAAATGTCATACTTGGCATGAAATGTTTTTTTTTTGGCAAATGTATTTCATGAGCAACGAGAACCTCAACCTACACAAGCCTTAAAATTTCGAAATATTTGTTGGTTGATTGTTGGCGTCATTATACATATTTCAGTGTGTATGGTTGGTATTAGGCATGGGCGTTTTTACCTCAATCCGAAGTACCTATCTAAACCCGAAACCGAATACAAACTGTTATACAAAAATATCCGAACGGAACTTATGAGGTTAATACTTCAAAGCTTGATTATAATCTGAACCGAACCGAAATCTGGTCTAGAATTTGAAAATACCCAAATTAGTTAAATATGTTAATATCTTATATATTTTAAAATAATTTAGATATTTTAGAGTATTCAAATATTTTTGTGGTTTGTTTTATTTGATATTTTGAATATTTTTTAGCTAATTTAGATAGTTTAACTATTTTTAATTAGATTTGTAAATAATTTATATATTTTGAAAATAAGTGACAATTTTTGAGGTTTTAAAAATATACTTTTGGATGATTTTAAGCATTCGTTACATCCGGTCCGAACTGAATCTGGAAGAAACCGAAGCGAACCCGATCTAATAATCAGGAAAAATCGAATGGGATTTCTAAGCATAACACCGAAAATCCAAAAATCCAAACCACCCAAATTGAAATCAAACGGCTACCGAACACCAAGGCCTAGTTGGTATAAAAAGACTTAACTAAGGGAATACAATTTCTAGGAATTACAAAATCAAATGCAGAAGCTGCCTTAACTGCACTCAAAATTCCGAACCCTCATATGAACTATGAAATGTATGTGCTAACATAGTAACATACAACATGTCAGAACTCTGGAATAAGCTATCAAAAACTAATAACGATGATTTAGAATCAGGGGTGACATTTTTTTTATTAAGCTAAAGGAAATATCAAGGTTATACCTTTACCATCGACTATGTTGCATTCATTAGCAAAAGAAAATGGTAATTTTTTCATATAGAGTTATGTTTTGTTGGTTATCTATTGAAGTCTAGTTATTCAAAATACTTCAAACCTGATTAATGAATAAAAAGTATAAATGATCGGCATCTCTCCTAAAATCTTAAAATGGCATTTTTATAAAACAAAGAGGGTATTAACTACCGTGGCCTCGCAGTCAATAGCGGATACATGTGATGGTCGTTTCAACGTGGAACATGTGTGTAGATGTTTGTTTAACTAATTTTCTTAGACATCACTGGGGCAGAGGATATGAATGAGACAACACGTTAATTCGTCATCTCAGTTACGATATTGTTTCCTGACCCTTTTTACAACACATCATAATTTAGGTGGGTAAGACCGTATAATAAGTGAGAGTGTTATCCAATATATGGATATTTGGAGATATTTGTAATTCGATTATTTCATCTGAATAATCAATTATCCGATTAGATTGGTACTCATTCAGATATTTAGTGTCCAGGAAAATTTTGGATTTTAATCGGATATTCGATTTGATCCTTACAAATACAGTAATAATTTCAAAATTAAAAAAAAATCTAAAAATAATAATAATATTTTATTACAAAAATAAATAAAATTTTAAATTCTTAAAAGTTCTAGCTACAAATATAATACATTTAATAAAATAAAATATTGTAAATCTTAAAATGTAAGATTTATATAACTTATATATAATTCTCTCTATATATGCATATAACAGATCGGATATCCATTCTTGAAAATATTAGTATTTTTGATTTGTTTCATTTTCTATGGATATTACACTTTAGTATTTATTAGGCTTCGTATAGTTACGGATATCTAGGTTTTTGGTTCAAATAGAAACGAATAACAAATAAAACTAAAAATTTTGGATATTTTGTTCAGTCCTAATAATAGGCTAGCATAATATGGGTTCAAGCATCAGTGGATCAAACATGCGTAACACCTAGAGATGGTAATTGGGCTTTCCCGTCCCGTTCCGTTCCGTACCGCAGCGGGCTCATCGTCGAGTGGGTCACGGCGGGCCTTTCCCGCGCGGGTTGCAGTCTTCCGAATGGCTACCCAATTCCGTACCGCATAATTTATAAGCCTTCGCGGGCCGTCCCGCAGGCCGTCTCCTT